CATGTGCCAGAGCTGGAACAGTTCTGTAGCAGTGTCTGCTGACCCTTATATGCGTCAACCTTGTGCAGCTGAGGCCATGTGGAATGGAGCCACTCCAGTTCCCTCTTACATGACCAGAGTTGGAACCCCCATTGCTCCTGGTTCTTAGCCTTGCTAAGAGAGTTGGCTATCCATTCTTTCTTGTGTATATAGCGGTGGATACTAATTTTTTCTTGTTTTTGTAGTGTGCTAGTGTTCTACATAGATAGGTTTACTTTTGGACTTCTTCCCCCAATGGGAAGATCTCCCCGCCTGGGGATTATGTCCTGACAAGTCAACTTCAAAAACTGCTTCGTGTCATGCTTCTTCTCTGCAAGCGACGAGCACCAGCGGTGTCTTTACTGCCTTGGCAAAGGCCACGTTGTCATCCGTTGCATGATTTGCTTTTCTTTCCTGTCCCGAATGCAAGAAGCCAGGGAACTTTGTCTCTGTAAGTTCCTGATGGAAGAGGCTATGTGCCCACGTGCACAATCAGATCCGGAACCACCAGAGCAGTGCCCGGCACAGTCTATGAGCCCCCCTCTGACTTCTTCTCGGGTGCTGGATCGGCTGGTACTGCTGCAATCTGACAAGCCCCGCCGTGAGCATAAGCACAGACATGGGCCTAAGGCTGGATCCTAGTCTGGGACAGCCTCTAAATGCAGCGTTGACTCCCCAAGCCGGGCCAGGTCAGGCGAGTTGCATGCCGACTTGGCTGCTCCATCTCCCAAGAAGCCCCGGACGGAGCCATGATAGCTGACCCCCCCACACCGTCTTCCATAAGGCAAGGTCCCCTTATGCCTACACCCCAAATTCATCGCTAAGGTGGTGCCCACGTTATACCTCAACCACCTGCCAGTCTTCTATCCCAAACCCCACAACTCCCAACAGAGCCAGGACACTGCACTCTCTCGACGTCCGCCACGCACTGGCCTTCAACCTCCAAGGCATGCGGGCATGCCTCACCCAGACTCTTTGTTGCTGAACGCTGCAAGGGCCAAGCCCTCTCCTCGCAGCGCATCTCCAAATGGCTCTCCTGTTGCATTTACGAATGCTACACTCTTTCCAACATAACTCCACCTCCCGGAGTCACGGCTCACGCCACATGAGCCCAAGCCGCAATGTTGGCCTGCCTCGCGGATGTGCCATGGCAGGACACTTGCCAAGCAGCCATGTGGAACTCCATCCACGCCTTCCCCTCTCACTACACCATTGCTCTGGCATCGGGGGCTGATGCGGCCATTTGTCGTGCTGTTTTGCGGTCTGTGACTTCTCGCGAGTCCTTGTGCCCACCTCCACGCTGATCACTGCTTGCTACTCAACCACGTTTGGAATCCATATAGGGACCATCACGCCAAGAAGAGGAGGAGGTTACTTACCTGTAACTGGAGGGTCTTTTGAGATGTGTGGCCCCTATTTGGATTCCAGTCCCTGCCCTCCATCCCCTCTGCTGCAGACTACATGCTTAGCGGTAAGAGGGCTCGAGAGCGGTGTCAACCCGCACAGCCTCTTATACCCTCGGCTGGGCACACGAGGACGAGGGACGTGAGGGTCAACGGACACTGCTACAGAGTTCCAGCTCCATCACATGGTGCACATGCGCACTCACGTTTGGAATCCAAATAGGGACTACACATCTCGAAGAACCTCCAGATACAGGTAAGTAACCTCCTCTTATTCCCATTTTACAGAAGGGGATACTGAGGCACAGAAAGGTTAAGTGAGGTGCACAAGATCACAATGCAAGAGAAGGGAAAAGAGCACAGAACTTTTGATTACTAGCTCCCCCACCAATGGACCATGCTCCCTCTCATACGATAGGGTTCCTGCTGTTTCACCTGGCTATACAAGAAACAGCATTCCTTTGTTTTATCACTTTCCCCCAGAAAAGAATCTATATTTTATGGCGTGATATTAAAATGTACCAAAGATTTTTCACTGCTAGCTGACTATATCCCCTCCTCCCTGCTTGGTGGAACTCTCACCAACGTCAATCAGAGTCCCACAAGTTCAGATAGAGGAGAAGGGCCCCTCTATGCATTAAGTGTTAATGGCAACACCGTGTGAATTTATTTTCATTTTAATAGTGATACGTCCTTGATTAAAATGTCCTTGGCAGTAGTGGTCTGACAAGGTCAAAAGCAAACAGCACATTCCCATATACTCCCTGAAATGCATCAACAGAAATGTATTCCACAATTAACTTTCTTACCATTTCCATTATGAGGTGTCCACAAACAAAGCACTTGTCTGCTGTTTGTTGAAAGCCCGAATACTGTTCAAATGACAGAAGAGAAAGGATTGTTAGTAATTGCTAATCTCTCTTCCTTTCTTTCTGAAACTATACCTGTCCCACGAATGCTGTGTTGTTTTTTCCATCTGACCTGGGATGAAACAAACCACGCTGCGGTGCGTCAGCTCGAATACTTTTTTCATGGCCTACTTTGAACTGCTCTTAGAAGACACTGATTCAAAGGCTTTCACACTGTACTTTGAACATTTTCAGGTACTCGTCTTAAATAGCTTGAGTTAGTTTTTCCCTCTGATCCAGGCATGTAGTTCCCATTGAGGATAATGGGGATTGTGAGCACAGTTACATGCTTTAAATCGTGATTATAACTCCATTCTGGTTTTGGAAAGATGAAAATTTATTTAAAAAAAGATAAAAATTGGGTAAGGATGTATGAGTGAAATCCTGACTTCATTCAACTCAATGGCAAAACTCCCATTAAGTCCCATAGGGCCAGGATTTCATCTGGTCTTGTTTAGAGACTGAGTGAAGGGGGAACTAAGATGCATATTTGTAAACCAACTTATCAAGGCTATTGAGCCTGACAACTGACCTACCTGACTGACACCCTATAGAATAGAGTTTGCCTGAAGGACTCCAGACATGTAATTTTTAAACTGATATTTGCAGTAGCTGAACTTTATCCTCACCCTCCTCCGCCCAATATAAACAAACAGCTCCATGTGCACTCTTTCCTATCACGGGGAATGGTTGCCCAGTTGTTTACATTTGGTTGCACAGTAAGTTGGACATTTGATTATTTGAACATTTTTGGGTTATAGCAAAGTTCATCTAAAACATGCTGTGGTCTTGGAGCTAGACTTGGAACATGAGGCCAAGGGTAGGATGTCAAAACGTAGATCATGTGCCACAGCCCAGCTCTGTTGGCCTGGAGAGCATAGTGTGTCCTTACGGCCATGGATCTAAAAGAGGCTAAGGCCATGTCTACGCTTACCGGGGATTAAGGTTGCTGCGATCGATGCAGCAAGGGTCGATTTAGCAGGTCTAGTGAAGACCTGCTAAATCAACCGCAGAGCACTCTCCGGAACAAGACGATTAAGGATGGTGTAGACACCGCAGTAAGTTGATCTAAGCTACGTTATTCAAGTAGCTGGAGTAGCGTAACTTAGGTCGACTTACTGCGGTAGTGTGGACAAGGCCTAAGAGCCTGATCCAACCGCCAGTGAAGTTAATGGGAACTGTTTCTTTGATTTCAGTGGTCACTGGATTAGACCCTAAATTAGCAAGATGTCCTCTTTGTTTTATTTTTCCAGATAAGTGGCAAATTGGGGCCACGGTTATAAACAATTATAAACTGAAGTCACTTTCAGATGCCACAATGGACAAATAAGTTATTTATTAAATAATATGCTATTTCAATTCTCACAGCCTTCCTCTTTGTCTGCTTCAATATTTCCTATGTATTGGACAATACAGCACATATAATGATAAAAAACAAAAACAAAAAACCCCCTTAGATTAAGTAAAGCTTTTAAATTATAACAAATGACCATCTCAGATTGTTTAGTATACACCAGTGTCCATAGATTGTTACTCACATATTTCTGAATGTCATTTTGCTGCATTGTGTAATGGAATTAGAGTGAAATTGTCTAGACCATTTGTTCGCCGTCCCGGGCCAATGGGGGCGGCAGGAAGCCACGACAGCACATCCCTCGGCCCGCGCCGCTTCCCGCTGCCCCCATTGGCCCGGGACAGCGAACCCTGGCGAGTGGGGGCCGCGATCGGCCGAACCTGCCGCGTCAGCAGGTAAATAAACTGGCCCGGCCCGCTAGGGTGCTTACCCTGGCGAGCTGCGTGCCGAACGTTGCCGACCCCTGATCTAGACCTAGAGAAATGGTTGGGATCCGCTCCCCACCCTAGTGTCAGCAGCTTTAAGACCAAAATATTTGCTTTCTTATTCTTCTTCCAGCAGACAAAGACACTGCTACTACCCGGGAATCTCTCTGGTTTCACTGTATCTGAATGACCATCTGGCTAGACTGTTTCCTAAGGTTGCGACCTCAGGGGTTGCTGGAAACAGGTGGGGAGGTCCTAGCAGAGCAGACAGCAGAAGATTAACAATAGTATAAACCCAGCTAATTCCAAAATCCTGTCAGAATGAATTTAACAGTACCATCTGGCTGTCATTTGATAAGGAATGCAAAGGAGCATTTACCCAGTTATTGATTAACAGGGACCATATTCCCAAAGAACTGAATGGCTTGTGGTCAGGCTAATGTCATTTATTGCTGTCTGGATTGCTATAAATTACATTATTTGTCAGAAGGCAGGGTTTTGTTGACACACAATCTCTCTTTATATCACTAAACCTATTAAATTAAAACCATAATTCGTTTCTAATGGGGGAATTGTATTTGTAAAAACGCAACAAGAGAATGATTACTCAATTTAAGAAAATGCTACAAAATGGCACAAAGTCCAATCATATTGACAAACTATCTTATGAGCTCAGTGAAATGACCCTCTTTACTACTATATTGTGCTCTTTTCTGATCATAGTATTGATCTGGAAAAGCCTGAAACCTTTTGGTTCAATGAGAGTTAGGATCTGGATTAGTCTCTCCTGGTGGGTTAAATCTATATAGGATGGAGTAGAATGATAGCCTCTCATCTCAGCAGCATTTTTTTCTACAGTATGGTGTATACTGCTATCATTAAATCTGTATTATCCTTTGACAATAAATGGCTTTTGCCAGGTATTCATAACTCAACCCTGCAGTACATATTTTTATTATAAACATGGAGGGCTCAAACATCAGTTCTAGGTTTTAAATTCTAGGAACACAGAGCACAAAATAGACAATACTCTGAAACAGTAAAATACTTGGTGCTTTGCACCTTTCCTCTTTAAAGTGATTTACTAATACGAAACTGCACAACCTTCCTGTCAAGTAATATTTATCCTCATAGTGCAGGTGGGGAAACTGAGGCAGAAAAGTTGTGACTCGCTCAAGACTGAAGAAGGGCAAAAATGGCCTTGCACTTAAGGCATAATTCTAGGGCTCAAAAGAACTAGGTTCAGTTCCTGCAACAAAGCCCAGCATGCTTTTTGATAAGTCTCTCATTCCCACTGGGTGGGATTTTCAAAAGAGCTCTTGGTTGGTCTAACTTGGCTCCTAAGGAAGTCAATAACTTCCATAGGAACCATTAGGTAACCTCAAGTGCTTTTGAAAATCTCATCCTATATTTTAGTTCCCCCATCTGCAAAATGGAGATAACATTTCCTTTCCTCATGTGAGTGTTGGGTGGATAAATGTCTGTAAATCACTCAGACTGTAGTGATGGTGGATCTACAAGAGAGTCACAGGTGGGATTAGAACTCAAGAGTTCCTGGCTCCTATTCCTGGGCTCGGGCTACTCCCCTGTGCCTTTGTTACAGACACCACTGGTTTCAATGCTTTCATTAACATGCAGCCCTGTTTTATTTTACATTTTATGTACCAAGAGTTTATAATTCTGACACTGCACATATTTGGCCATCTTTTAAAAATCACCGAGCCGATTTTGTTTAGCTTTTCTAAACATGCCAGTAACTTTTTCTGTTACTGTTTCTTAAGCAGATAAATATAATTACATACTCATCTAGAACTAGAAATGTACTTGCATGGGCCCATGTACAGTATGTACCCAAGATAAATGAGACACATTCACAAACATTGAGGTGGTTTTTTGTTTTTTTTTTACTAATACCATGAATAACACTGAATAATGTTAAAGTTGTTACACAAGCAGAGGAAAGCTCTGAAATTCAATGGTCAGCCTAAGGCATCCTCCTTCACCCCCACTCTTGTGACTTTAAAGTACAATACTCCTTACCAAAATACAAAGAAAACAAATGGATCCTGGAGATCTAACAATTTACTGTTCTGGGATCTCAATTTTGTCCTAACTTTCCTCCCACATTTAACTCTTTATTCACACCCATCTCTCCGGATGTTGTTATAATCTCTGATTTTCTGTGCAAGAGTCAATACCTTGTTTCAGGATCTTGATAATCTACGCATTATTTATCTCTAGCTTCTCAGGTAGGGTTTTTTGTTGTTGTTGTTGTTGTTTTTTTTAATATATAGACGTTGAGAATTATATTGGAGTTCAAGAGTAAAAGGAAAAGCCTTGGCTAGATGAACTTTCTTTTGTTTGCTGTCTCCCAGCCTTTGATTACCAAACAGGCAGAAATCACTAATGATTTTGCCCAAAAGCCTTTGTTTCAATGGGAGAGGAAAAAGAGGTCACCTTCTGCCCAGATTACTTAGGTCTGTTTTGTGCCCCTCTTCTCCCCCCCCCCCCCACATGATAATCTCAAATTTTAAGGACTCCTCTGTCCAATGTGCAACATATTCTAAAGAAATTAACAATGCTTTTGGAGCATTTAATGAATAATTATGCATGGAGGGTAATCCCACCGAGTACTGAGAGAAATTTCTTCTTTCTGCAATCAGGTCTTGAACCAGCCTCAGCTATCGGATCTTTTAAATCCTGATGCTTGCATCAGGAGTTTCAAGAGAGAACACATTGAGAAATAATAGAAAGAAGGTCCTGAAGCCTTTTCCAGATGTACCTTAAATTAGAGACATGTCATTATGTTGCCTTAGCATGCCTAACCATGCCCAGGAAGTGGATGCTGCTGCTTCTTCCCCCCGTCGTGTGCTTGCGACAAAAATTGCTTTCCCTCGGACAGATGCTTGCAGACCCCTTTGCTTTCTCAATGGAGATTTTAAAAAACTAGTAAAGGTTAGTGGGAAAAGATCAAATAGCTTAGATTTTGGCAGATACTGTGGGTGACCTGGCTGTAGTAATATTAGGAAATTATTAAAAATCACTGATACGGCACTGCAAAAGTTGCTGAATTTGATCCACTCAGCCTAGATTTGAGATTCCCTCTCTTTTACGCTTACAAGGCCTTTGAGAGGGTAGACCAGGAGTTTTTGCCAAGATGCTTCAGGCATTTAATTCTGAAAACT